TACATGATACAATGCTTTAGCGAATATACCTACTGTTATCTGTAGGAACTACCTGAAAGTTGTATCTAAAAATACGACATACTACATCATTATTCCCAGAAAATGCGGGTTATACTCAAGTAAAATGTGTAGTATCGGACTAGTAACTTTCATTCATGCGATCTATCATTATTTTTGAACCTCAATTTGTCCTGTAGGAGTGTTTCCTACCTGCTCCTGCAACCAACTGCAGAGTGCCTATGACTTACTTCGCATCTGGCCAGTCAAGTTTTCAAAATTACTCCACTTTTTACGAGAATAAATATTTTATTTTTATTCATATTCACTTGTGTTTGTATATTCTTCATATTCTCTGCTTAACGTTTTTTGAATATGCTTCTTAGGCTGTATTTTAATACATTTCTGTTTGAAATGTTTACTTAAGTTCCCCTCACTTGTAAAAATTTGTTTACAATAGTGTTGTAACGTGTACTATCATTGGGCAAATTTCCTTTTGAATTATTTGGTAAAAATGTTGCGAAGTTCATTCCATGTAACTATAATAAATTAGTGTATTTCTACTATAATATTTCTATAGGTTACATTCATTTTGACAAATGTTGTAATCCTAAGTTCCCAAACAGCGTTGTAACATACATTTCAACATCAATAATACTGTTACGCCTCCAGTCGTTACTTAATTTTTCCGTAAATTCTTTCCGACGAAACTTTAGCTACACAAGTCCTTTCTTAAATAAAACTGGTTTATTCTTTCCGAATACAACTTTACGATACACTTAATTTCAACAGTCGCGCTATAATTCTCAACGAACGTCTCACGTGCTCGAGTTCAATTAAACACTCTCTGACTGCAGTTCAATTACTCACTACACTGTTCCCATCACGTTGTGACCATCTTATATATACCAGCTACCCCCAATCTAGTAATCTCCCGATAATTCACGAAGGTTCGAGAGAAGGAGTGGCATGATACTAGTAACGTGACCTCCTCTGACACAACAATACTAATGCCTAAATTACAAATACAAAACTTACAGAATTTCCTCGCTAATCGATCAATTAACTAAATGGTTGTTATAACTCCCACTTCTAACACTGAACAAATTTCCTGATATTAAACTCAATCACTAATTCATTACTTAATAACTTGTCACCAACTCATTGCTTACTGAATCTCGTATTTATAACGGACCCTTGCTTTTAAATATAAACGAAGTTTCTCGAATCTCAACATCCAAGAACTTTCTAGATATTGCATCATCATCATGATTAGAAGTTCCCTCTAGTAAACAAACATCTAAATTAAAACACTGAAAATATAGCTTACCATGCTACTGCCCCTTCCTGGAGATTGAGACCCTTTGAATAATCAAATTCTTTTGTGATTTTCTTTTACATAGGTTATGTTATGGAGATGGGATAGACTCTTCTATATATTGTTGTCAGTTAATTAATTACTGTCCTTACACTGGGAGAGTTCTCCCTGGATAGCGGGTCAAGTGAATCAAATAATGGCTCAATACTCGGTGATCCTCTGGAAGTGGTCACAGCAGGAATCCTGAGCTATTCTGAAAGTGGACTTCCACAGACATATTCTTCTATGAAATTACTCTGTTGGCCATTCTCTCATCAACGTATTTCAAAAGATGATCCCAGTGGATGGCTTTTGTCTTGGACCACCTGTACGTCTCATACACCACCTCATTGATCCTTTTCAGTACAACATATGGCCCTTCCTAAAACCTGCTTAACTTTGGACTTAGTCTATTCTTGTGGCAGAGATTTTACAATAATACCATGTCACCCGGATGGAATCCAATCTTATCAGCATTAACATCATAGCAACTTTTCGTTTTATCACAAACTTATTTAAGTATTTCCCATATAAAGTCATGCATGACATCTTTATTATTCAGATTCACGAGAGCTCTTCCAAACATCAATCTACGAGGACACGCCAGCGTGTTTGGTTTCACAGTGTTCTTTTTATTAAATTAAGATTTATTTCTAATAACTACTGATATTGGTATTTCATTTCTTTCTGGTACATTGATCAACCACTCTCCTTGTTGTCACTGGAAGTTCAATCTCTGGTGTAGCAATTGCCATATAGTGCACAGGAATTTTCTGATAATATACTATGAAGATATATGAATCTAGCCTAACCTCATACCTATGTCTGGGTGTGAAGGCAGTTCTCAATATGCGCTCTTTTTTATGCCACACATTATGAGGTGCAGAGAAGCTTCCTATAGTAAGGGCAACTTCTAACTGTTCTCTTGATGAAACTTTATGTATACCTATTCACATCAGTTCCTCTTCCTTTTTCATCCCTGGAGGCAATTTCCCACCTTTAATTACCAATTCAGATTGACCCTAGTACCACTGTCGATCAACATACTGCTAGGTTTCCCATCAAGAAAGCTGGAGACTCGTGGTCTGATTTCTTTGAATAATGAAATTGTCGTCTCATTTGAAGCAGGTGAAGTATTTTCAGCTGAAAATTTCCACATAATATTAGCTAATTCCCGTTCTGTAATATGTGGTTAATTCTTTGTTGTTCCTTTGATCTGATTATGCTCTAAGACACATCCTCTGGGTATTGTCTCCTTGGCCTAATAACAGCTGTTGATTCCTTGCAGTCTTGGCTGTAATGGCCATATTTTTCACAAGTATAACATTTCCCCCTTTTCCACATCCTTTGGAAGGAGTTTTTATTCCACAAAGGTTTTCATCTGCTCTTTCTCACAACTTGTATCCTTTCAATTTACACTTACAAAACCCATTTTATTGTGGTTTATTTTCCCCCAATCTGTGTAGCTAGCTGTCTGACTAATCCTTTCAATTCTTCTAGACAATCTTTAAAGGAACTAATGTTTCATTACTATTTTACCTGATGATCTCGTTATTTAAATATGGTGCCCTTAGTAGTTTATTTGTAATATAAATGGTTTCAACTTCCACTGTCCACTGGATATTTACTTTCATAGGTGTACGCCTATTTTAGTTCAATACAATTATCATATTGTTGCGTCAGCGAGGTCACGTGACTAGTGTCACGCCACGTTTCTAGAACTATCCTGTTCCTTCGGGAGTGCTCTAGCATTTGCTAGATTGGGGGTGGCCTGGTATATATAAGATGGTCACAGCGTGACGTGAGAACGTGTGTAGGTAGTGAGTAATTGATCTGCAGTCAGAGAGTATTGTTGAAGTTCGTTATAGCGTTTGTTTTAGCGCGAATGTTGAAATCAAGTGTATCATAAAGTTATATTCAGAAAGAATAAACCCGTTTTATTAAGTAAGGACTTGTGTCGCTAAAGTTTCGTAGGAACGAAGTTACGGAAAGTTAATTAACAAACGGAGAAGTAACAATATGATCATCTGTTATGGCATCTATAAATTGGTCATGTGCCAACGAATCCATCATTTCACGTGGAGCATCCGAGTAAGATAATTGGACAAGCCATTACAAGTCTTCTGCAAGTTTGGCTAAATCCTCTTCTTTCCTCTGTACCATTTTTTGACACTTTATTCTGAATACTCCCACCTGGTGCGTCAATCCAAACCTGTTGGATGAGGCAACTATGAGCGCTTGATCGTCGTTAGGCTCTTAGCTGTAAGGTTACTTAATGTTGTTAAAGCTAGTTCTTTTATATGGGCAGGAAAACGAATAACTTGTTCACTGTTTTATCTGTTCACTCTCGAAATAATTTCCAACCGAACATGATATACCTCCTGTGGTATCTTTCCATCGTAGTCCATTGATTTCTCAATCAGGCGCTGTTGTTGAATTGACCAGCTACAATCTGGAACTAGATTTGGTAATGACATGGCTGAATAAGTGATAAGGGGGTCTTTAATTGTGTACTTTTTGTTTCAATTTCACATAAAGCTATTGGAAGGCTAGTTGCGCTAGTTGTCCTTGATTTACAAGGGATAGACTAGCGGGAAGACTTCGAAGGCAGTTAATTAACTCCGCCCATCTCCAACTCTTGGGTTACTCTTTATCAGTGAACTATGAATGGTCGTCACATAATAATGCCCTCATGGCTAAATGGGCAATCATGTTCGGTGACAGGATTTGAGCTCGTGACCTGCAAATTGTGAGTCGAGCATCATAATGTTGCGTCAGCGAGGTCACGTGACTAGTGTCATGCCCCCTGCTTTCTGGAAGTATCTTGACCTTCGTGAATTGTCGGG